GGGAGTGGAGAAGAATCTGGGGAGAGACAATGGAGGCTAGAAGGTGGAGGGGTGTTGGGCCCCATGTGGGGGTTTGGATTTTATCTGGGAGGGAACGTGGCCACTGAAGGGTTTTCTTGCAGGCAAGAGTGACATCAATGTCATTATCATCACAGCATCCTCTTTCATATAGCTTAAGTATATACTCTGCCTCCATTAAGTTCATCCTTAACCCTCACCACAACCCTTGGAGGAAGGCAGAATCATTAAACCGACAAAGTCAAGGTCTCCCGAGGGAATAGTTTACCTACATTTCCACAGCCAGGAAGCAAAGAAAACAGGACTGGAATCCATATCTTCCAGACATTGAAGGTTTAGCTCTTAAACCCTATCCTGTACTGACTCTGAACCAGACCAGGGTTTTGGAAAGAATAGATTGGAAGAAGAGAAGCTGGAGACCGAGAGACCAGCTAGATGTTTAGTATGTGCTGTGCTGGTTACAACTGGGGATAAAATTATTTTAAAAAAAGGCAATGTCCTTGCCTCCCCCAAAGAAAGAGCCAATATGTGCTCAACCTCTTGATGCCAATCTAAATGAAACATGTCAAAATTTGGATCCATTCAGTAGTTTCTCCCTGGCATTGTGCGAGTGGCCATGGGAAGGAAAGATGTTGAGAGCCACCTTGAACAAGCTAAAAACCTAGTTTGAAAGCACCTGATTTCTGTGCATTGATTTTGTATCAGTTGCTTTCTTATACACTAACAATACAACTGTAGAAAGAGAAATTAGAGAAAGGATTCCATTTACAATAGCACAAAAAACCATAAGATACCTCGGAATAAACCTAATCAAAGAAGAAAAGGATCTATACTCTAGGAACTACAGAACACTCACGAAAGAAATTGAAGAAGACACAAAAAGATGGAAAAATATTCCATGCTCATGGATCGGAAGAATAAACATTGTTAAAATGTCTATGCTACCCAGAGCAATCTATACCTTCAATCTATACCATCCCGATCAAAATTCCAATGACGTTTTTCAAAGTGCTGGAACAAACAATCCTAAAATTTGTATGGAATCAGAAAAGACCCCGAATCACCAAGAAAATGTTGAAAAAGAAAAACAAAGGTGGGGGTAACACGTTGTCCGATTTCAAGCTATATTACAAAGCTGTGATCACCAAGACTGCATGGTAGTGGCACAAAAACAGACATATAGACCAACGGAACAGAATAGAGAACCCAGATATGGACCCTCAACTCTATGGTCAAATAATCTTTGACAAAGCAGGAAAAAACATGCAATGGAAAAAAGACAGTCTCTTCAATAAATGGTGCTGGGAAAATTGGACAGCCACATGCAGAAGAATGAAACTCAACCATTCTCTAACACCATACACAAAGAAAAACTCAAAATGGATGAAAAACCTTAATGTGAGACAGGAATCCATCAAAATCCTAGAGGAGAACATAGGCAGTAACCTCTTTGACATCGGCCACAGCAACTTCTTTCAAGATACGTCTCCAAAGGCTAGTGAAACAAAAGCAAAAATGAACTTTGGGACTTCATCAAGATAAAAAGCTTCTGCACAGCAATGGAAACAGTCAACAAAACAAAGAGGCAACCTACAGAATAGAAGATATTTACAGACACTACAGATAAAGGGCTGGTATTCAAGATCTATAAAGATCTTCTCAAACTCAACACCCACAAAACAAATAATCAAGACAAAAAATGGGCAGAAGACATGAACAGACACTTCTCTGAAGAAGACACACAAATGGCTAACAGACACATGAAAAAATGTTCATCATCATTAGCCATCAGGGAAATTCAAATCAAAAGCACATTGAGATACCACCTTACACCAGTTAGAATGGCAAAAATGGACAGGGAAAGAAACAACAAATGTTGGAGAGGTTGTGGAGAAAGGGGAACCCTCTTACACTGTTGGTGGGAATGCAAGTTGGTACAGCCACTTTGGAAAACAGTATGGAGATGCCTCAAAAAATTAAAAGTAGAGCTACCCTATGACTCAGCAATTGCACTACTGGATAGTTGCTCCAAAGACACAGATGTAGTGAAAAGAAGGGCCGTATGCACCCAATGTTCATAGCAACAATATCCACAATAGCCAAACTGTAGAAAGAGGCGAGATGCCCTTCAACAGATGAATGGATAAAGAACATGTGGTCCATATATACAATGGAATATTACTCAACCATCAGAAAGGATGAATACCCAACTTTTACATCAACATGGATGGGACTGGAGATTATGCTAAGTGAAATAAGTCAAGCAGAGAAAGTCAGTTATCATATGGTTTCACTTATTTGTGGAACATAAGGAATAGCATGGAGGACATTAGGAGAAGGAAGGGAAAAATGAAGGGTGGGAAATCGGAAGGAGAGATGAACCATGAGAGACTATGGACTCTGAGAAACAAACTGAGGGTTTTAGAGGGGAGGGAGTTGGGGGGATGGGTGAGCCCAGTGATGGGTATTAAGGAGGGCACATACTGCATGGAGCACTCGCTGTTATACGAAAACAATGAATCATGGATCACTACATCAAAAACTAACCAATGTATTGTATGGTGACTAACATAACATAATAAAATAAAATTTTAAAAAAATAATAAAATGCAAAAAAACCAAAACCTTGTTTGAAGAGACCTACCTGCTTGCTCTCAACGATAGACCCACACACGCAACCTCAGGTTATCCCAGGAAAAAGCCTCTTTCCCCGGACCTCAAGCATATCATCATATTATGGGACCTGCCAAGCAAGAGGGCTCATGTGCCACTTAGCCTCTAGCTACTGCTTGGCAATTTTCTTTGGAAAAATGATTGGTAACCACTATTAAATATTGACAATCTCAGTCATTTTATAATCATCTATTCCATGCTGGTTTTCAGGAACTGCTGGTGGGCTATATAGAGGAATGAGCCATGGGTCACTCTTAAGGGGTCAGTTACCTTAACAGGGTAACAGGCATGCAGTGATCGAGGTCCAGTATTCCATGGTGGAACAGAGGTTGGCAATAGATTTTCTTCATTTTGGTATGCCCATCAGGGAGCTATGTCAATGCATAGTTAACAATAAATATATACTGAATGGAAAGTGAGCATAGTGGTATGCCACTGAAGAAAGTACATAACTTTGCTAGGGTGTCGAGAACACCTACATGGTGGGGTTACAAAGACAAGTCAGTCTCAGTCTGCACTCTGGAGTAGGCCTGGAGGATGAATAGAACTTTATTATTGGAAGAGAGGGAAGAAAGAATTAGCAAAGATACTGATGATATGATACATATGATGTGATGAAGGACAGCAACATGGGAAAGTAGGTGTTCCTACATTCCAGCTGTCACTTGTTCTCCTCCCTGTATAGTATTCTTTCCTTCTTTCGTCCATCAGCTTAAAAAAATAAAGCTTATAAAGGACGGAGGAAGGTCCTTCTACCACGTGGGATGACTACATCACAGTGACTCCAAGACACTCAACTTGAAGGACAGGAAAAGAAGAAAAGTTTTATGGGTATGATAAAGCAATCATTTGTAGGACCTCCAATATTTCATAAACATGAAACAAAAGCCTGAGCTTCCCAGACATCTCACCCACAATTGCCGTTCTCGTTGCAATAGGGCATCGAGAACAGTCAAATAAATTATTAATGCAGCAGTATTCTCTGAATTGGCAGGCATCCCATGGAAAGAGTGACGTCCCAGTCTGGCAACTGCTCTGTTTTTCAGAGGAACACAACATTTTATCCTGGCAGATACTCGTGTTGATTGCACAAGGTGATTTCAAGTTATTTTTCTCAATTATTTTATAGGGCTATTCAGGACAATTATAATAAATCTATTATGAGGTTGCATAAGTATTCTAGACATTAATTTCAACATTTCCAAGCTCTGATTCCTGTGAAGTCCACATAGGGTCTGGAAATTCAGTAGTTTCCTCTGTGCCCCTGGCAATGACATATGGCAGTGGGAGTTGAGTTTTGGCCCATCCATGATCACACATACCTGGCTTCACTCACTTCAAAGATCCATGTTTTACTGACAATTTGATCAAATTAAGATGAAGACAATGTGGCACTTTTTCGTAATTTCTCAAACTATTGTTGTATAAAGCTTAATATAACAAGTGGGTATCTATAGATGTAACATTTTTAAGAGAGCCTTGGATGATAAAACTAATATATCTGTTGAGCATAGAATTCCCAAGAGCATAATATTTAGGAGATAATATGTTGATTCCATAACCAATTTTTCCATATATTCCTGTTACTCCTCTTTGAAAACTGCATTCAGAGGCAAAGATAGGCATGAATTTTGAATATCACATGAATAATTTTCATGGGGCAAATCTTTATTTTTTGAAAGCTGATTTCATTTTGGGGAAACATATAATTTAAGGCCAAAGCTATTTTTTAAATCCTTTTAACAGCTACCCAATCAGGATGTCCAAGAATCTTCATTTCAATCTCTTCAAACTGAAGACACATGGTCTCTGACCCAACCCAACCCTGTTTTCCCTACTGCATCCCTTTCCTAGGATTGGTATCACGTTCCACAAAATTTGTTGTGTTCTGTAATCTCTTCTGAAAATCAGGATGAGGTATTAGGAACTACACATGTACAAGATTCTTCCATAAGCTTACTACAATTTGGTATGTAATGAAAATATTTATTTCAAATAAGAGTTCACAGTTTCAAAAAAAGAGGGTCAAAAATGAGAATGTTAATGGTTTTTAGGAACCATGGCCTTGTTCACAAACACAGATGTCAAAGTGTCAGAAAAGCACTTGGTGACAAATTTTATTTCTTGTAGACAACATTTAATTGAAAGCGGGAAACAAGACCAACCTGCTTTGAGCTATAAGTTTAACATAACTATTTTAGACTCTGGAATCCATGACACAAACCTGAAGAAAACACTTGAAGTCAGGATGTGTTTGGGGAGGAAAAAAGCTCCATGTAACTCAGACACTAGGCCTTTCCAATTGGTACCTGTCTTTGGTTTTCCGTCTCCAGGCGTAGCCTGGCCTCCACACACCTCCGCGTCTCCAGGAAGGCTTGGCGCTGGGCCCGGTCTGACAGGTAGCTGATGAAGATTCCAGCTGTGTTCATACACATGAATAACACTGCCTGGGCCACAACCTAAAACACATTTGCAAACATAGGCTGGTCAGATGATTAAAACAAGAGCTGTTTGGAGACAAAGAGGAAAACATAAAGAAAGATTTCCAAGGTAAATCTTAAGGTAGTAATCCAAACATTTAGCATCAGCCTAATAGAACCATTCAGGTCATGGGTGAAATGTCATCCCCCCATTGACCTTTTCATCCAATTTAAAGCTTCTCATACTGCAAGTGTGATTTGAACGTGAATTGAAAACTTGAGGTTAGATAGGAGCACTTCTCTCTTTCTCACTCTGCCTTACTTCTCCGCCTTCACTAGCTGAAGTTTTTAGCCTTCTAGATGGTTGGAGGAGCAGGTCAGAAGAAGGGAAAGGGACTAATAAGAAATAGCTAATAGTACTACTATTATATCTAGTAGCTCTTACAACTTTTTTTGATGATATAAAGGTAAATATACTAGCAATGAATGCAAAAAAAATCTTAGCAGAGAAATAGAAACCATGCACACAAAATGAAAATTCTAGAAGTGGAAAACACAACACTGAAAATTAAAACAGTCACTGGAGGATAGTAATAGCATAATGTAGGTGACAGAAGAAAAAAACCAATAAACTTGAAGATAAATCAATAAGCCAAGAATAACCTTCAAAGCAGTCAGAGAGAATGTTACAGACAGGGGACATGCTCTCTAGTTATGATAATGATTTTCAGGGTAAATAAAAAAGAAAGACATTACTAAAATACACTGAAATGAGGGGCACCTGGGTGGCTCGGTTGGTCGAGCATCTGACTCTTGGCTTCGGCTCAGATCATGATCTCAGGGTTGCGAAATGGAGTACTGACTGCATAGACTCACAGTGTGGAGTCTGCTTGAGGTTCTCTCTTTCCCTCTCCCTCTGCCCCTCCCTCTGCTCATACTCTCTAAATAAATAATAAATAAAATCTTTAAAAAATAATAAAATACACTGAAAAGTTTGAAAGTCAAACAAAATAAAGCTGGTTTTGCTGTGTAAATACTATATAAAAGAGAACTGAAGGAAAAAAACATTACTAGTGATAAATAAGGTCACTATATAATGTTAAGAGCTTTAATTCACCAGAAAGATCTAAAAATTACGAACTTGAGCACATTTAGCATCATAGCTCAGAATACACAATGCCAAGTGTGACATAAGTCTATGGCATTATTTACGAATCTGTCATCACAGTGATCTATTTTTTACACAATGTTCAGCAGTTAACAGATCAAACAGATTAAAAAAATCAGCAAAGGCAGAGACAACTTAAATACCTCATACAACTAACAAACTTGAAATGGAATACAGTATGCAACAACTAGATGGTACAAATTCTTTTTAGGCACTTACTGAATATTTATAAATAGGATTTTATGATAAAACCTGAAGGTAGCCTCAGCAAATTTCAAAGAACTAGTAGCACATAACTATAGTCAATTACTACAATAAAATCAATTTACAAAGACAACATCATGTGTTTGGAAATTAAAAATATTTCTAAATAACTCATGGATCTAAGAATATATTATAATGGAAAATATGTATAGTTAAAGAATAATATGAAAATACTACTGAACAAAATTTAGTAGTCCTCACAGAGGAATGTATATTAATAAATGCTTTATTTTTTATTTATTTATTTATTTTTAAGATTTTATTTATTTATTTGACAGAGACAGAGATAGCGAGAGCAGGAACACAAGCAGCGGGAGTGGGAGAGGGAGAAGCAGGCTTCCCCTCGAGGAGGGAGCCCGATGTGGGACTCGATCCCAGGACCCTGGGATCATGACCTGAGCCGAAGGCAGATGCTTAACGACTGAGCCACCCAGGCGCCCAATAAATGCTTTTTTTAAAAAAAAAGCTGAAAATCAATGTGCTAGCCATTCAACTTAAGGATTTAGCAAAAAACAAAAAGCAGAATAAATCCAAAGTATGTAGAAGGAAAAAAATAATAAAACAGGAGCAAAAATAAATAAAAAACAAAGATACAATAAGACAAATATATAAATGAAGTCAAAAAGTTCATTTTCTGAAAAGACAAAGAAAGGATAACAATTCTTATAAGCTTAATTTAAAAGAAAGAGATACAGAAAAGGTCCAAATAAGCAATATTAAGAATAGGAAATGGGACAAAGATATTGCAGAAATTAATAGGTAACAAGAATATGTTATGAAGTTTAATGCTACAAAAAATCTGACATGGAATTGGTGTATTTCTCAAAATACATCTTTACCAGAACTGACTCAAGGAAATGGAGAAAAAGTCAATAAAAGGAACCATAATTAAAAATCTTTTCACAAGGAATATGTACAGAAACAAAACCAAAAATACCTAAAGCAAACATCCTGCTCAATGGAAAAAGGTTCAAGAGCATTTGTTTAAAGACCAGGGTAGCAGTTACCATCAAATGTATTCAACACCATTCTCGAATTCTAGCCATCTCAATAGGACAAACACAGAAACAAAATAAAAGTGATAAAGTTTGAAAAGGAAGAAATATACTTTCATTATTTTCAGATGATTATCCATGTGGAATATCCAAAAATATCTACAGAAAAATGACTAAAATTAATAATAATTTAGCAAAGATGCTGGATACAAAATCAAAATAAAATGTCAATTGCATTTCTATGCACCCATAACAAACAGAAAGAAATTAATTTAGTGGAGAAAATAATGGGATTTAATGTAAAATAATCAAATAAGACTTACATAGATGGAGGGTTATATACCATGTTATGGATAGGAAAGAATTGCTACAGTAAAGTTCTCAAATCTCAGTAGGTATTTTTACCTCCAGTGGAATTCAAGATGATTCTAAAATTTATATGGAAGGGCAAAGGGTCAAAAATACAAAAGATATTCTTAAAGAAGAACAAAATAGAAAGAGTTGTGATACCAGATATTGAGACTTATTATAATGTTTTAGCAATTAAAACATCATGGTATTGATATAGGTATCCAAAAATTGACCAGTGGATGTCAACAGAGAACCCAGAAACACAAAGGCACAAAGTTTGGGCACCACAGGTCTAAGGAGAAAACAGGGATTTTCAACAAAGGGTATCAGGACAGTTTGTTATCCATTTAGAAAATAGAGTAAAAGTAAACCCTTGCCTAATACCACCCATGGAAACACACTGCAGGTGGATTAAAGTCTTCACTATGAAAGGCAAAAATATTAAATTTTAGAAGACAATCTAGGAGAATATTTTTATCACCTTGATAGATTTTTACAATAAACCACAGGAGCACCTGGGTGGCTCAGTCATTTAAGCATCTGCCTTTGGCTCAGGTCATGATCTCGGGGTCCTGGGATAGAACTCCCTGCTCAGTGGGAAGTCTGCTTCTCCCTCTCACTCTGCCCCTCCTCCCCCACTCATGCACTCTTTCTCTCTTGCTCTCTCCTTCTCTCTCTCTCAAATAACTAAAAATCTTTAAAAGATAAAAAAAATAAAGCACACAGAATACAAACTAGAAAGAACAGAGGAGTATATTTGATTAAAGAATTTCTATACATTCAAAGACACCACAAATAAAATTGAAAGAAAAAAACTACACATAAACTAAGAAAAGATATTTGTGATACTTATAACCAGCCAAGAAGTAATTTTAGCTTACAAGAACTTGTACAAATGTATAAGAAAACATAAACAATCCAATAGAAAACAAGGGCAAAAGATAAACAGATATTTCAAAGACAAGAAAAGACAAATATGAAACTGAGTGCAACAATCCAGGAACTGTAAGTTAAAGTCCACACCCATTCCACACTTACTAGGTTGGCTCTAAAAAGAAAATATATAGTGGAGCATCATCAAATTGTCAAGGATGCCAGTGGGAATCTGAAATGATGCAACTACTTTGACTTTACACATTACTATTTAATTTGCGCCACCCCAGAATTTCACCTTTTCACTCCACAGCCACCTTTGCATGTGTGGCCAGGAGACGTATCCAGGAATGTCTGGAATAGCATTCTTCATAAGGGCCTGAAACTGGAAATACTCTGAATGTCCACCAATAGTGGAATAGATACATATTCTTTTTTTTTTTTTTAAGATTTTATTTATTTATTTGACAGAGAGAGACACAGCGAGAGAGGGAACACAAGCAGGGGGAGTGGGAGAGGGAGAAGCAGGCTCCCCGCAGAGCAGGGAGCCCGATGCGGGACTCAATCCCAGGACCCTGGGATCATGACCTGAGCTGAAGGCAGTCGCTTAACCAACTGAGCCACCCAGGTGCCCTAGATACATATTCTGTGATGAATTAAAACAATAAAATACTACTGAGCATTGAAAATATATGAACTATCACTGCATGCGTCCAAATGGAGAAGTACAGAAAATAATAATATTTTAAAAGGTATAATCCAGCGACATAGAGATAAAAGCAATAAAACTAGACAATATATTGTTTATGGACACGTGAGATAGCATCTGATGGCATTTTTTTCCTTACCCATCAAATTGTCAATGATCAAAAATTTGGTGGCATACTCCTCTGGATAGGTTGTGGGATAAAGTCATTTCATGCCTAGTTGTTGAAGATATGAATTTTGCAATGCCTCTCAAAGTTGACAATATTCATGCTCATCAGCCCAGTGATTCCATTTCAATGGACTTATAAATATGACCACCAGGTGCTAGCACCAAAGGATAACACAGCATCGTTCACGTGTAATTAGAAAGAACCTAAATGCTCATGAACAGAGGACTGGTTAAATTATAAGGCCATACAACTGGATCATATGCTGAAAAAATCAAGTTGATTTTCTGTGTATGAGTACTGAACATTCTAGGACATACTGCTAGGTGGGGGGAAAGAGCAAAGGTCTAACATTTGTTCTCATTTTTATATGCACAGACTCCTTCAGTAAGGCAGTGGATAATTCTGGGGACAGAAACTGAAGTCTGGTTTATAATATCTACCTTTTATATTTTGAATATGTGCATGTAGTTCCTATCCCAACGCACGGATTTTTTTTTTTTAAGATTTTAT